GTCCGCAGTCCTGGGACAAGACTCACATGTCTCAAGCCTCCAGAGAACAAGGCAGGAGGAGTTGAAATGGGTGGGAGAGCCTCTTGCTTCGAAACAGAACCAGGAGAGGGTTTGGCATCTTCTTGACGAAGAAATTTTACAATATCGGGTATGCTGACCTTCTGGAGAAGGAAAAACAAAATTGCCGTTAGAGTCCTCATCCCCACTGGACTTGGTCCAGAAAGCACTGCCTGCATCTACTGTTCGATGTTACTAATATGCAATCTTCTACAGGCTGAGCAGGAGGACACGGCTGTGAGCACATGCATACACACACCCGCAGAGCCCTGAGGCAGACGTCATCACGCTTCGGGTTGTTCCTGAATGCTGTTGGGCGAGTTACTTATGGAGGACTGTGTTTTACAGAAGTTCAAATGTTAGCCTCACTAATGATCCTGGTATTTAGCCACATGAAATATAGTACTCAGCCTAAAAAAGCAATTTTAGCTCTAATATATGCATGAAAAAGGGAAAAGTCAAAATATGTACAGCAGTGGCTACTGCATAGGACATTTCAGTGAAGAACATGTTCATTGGCCCAGAAAGTTCTCTTGGGTAGTAAGAGCAAAGAGCAGTACATATCACAGACAAGTTGGGAAAACCTCTTCCAGACTAAAAAGTTTCATACTTGATGCTTTAGGTCTTGATGCTGGACTGGTGGTAGAACTTGGAAATATAACGTTCACATCAAAATTCTAATTTTCATGAATAAGATGCTAGGTGAGACCATTACAGAAAAAAATGAAAGACAGGATACCCTCCAAATTATACATATATTCTCAGTCCTTAGGATGTCAGCTCTATTCTGAGAAGTAGCTATTAAGCAACAGTAGATTCAGTCCACCACTGTAACTCCAGGGGTCAGGAGAGGAGGAGGAGAAAAAGGAATAGAGAGGATATGAGGTCTGTTCTCCAAGAGCTGATAGCTACTAGGAAAAGAGACACACGACAAGGAGGGTACCAGTCCCATCAAAGAAGGTAGACGGGGGAAGTTATTCAGGATGAGGGCATCCTGGGGGATCTTCGGTGGGGCTATAACCTCAGTGGAAAGCTGATGGGCAGCCAGGAAAGACCAAAGTGTAAGGCCTAGAGTTATTCCAACTGTCAAGTAGCAAGCACACTGCTTGTTATGACACGCCGGTTGCTGCCGTGCTGTCTCTTGGGTAGACGACTGTTTAAAAAGGAAGGGGGTGGTGAATGAAGGCAGGAGACAGGAAAATGAGTGTGGCGGGACTGTCCTGCTACAGTGTTGTATATGGTTAGATTTCTGGACTTATGTGTAAACATATATAATT